CCGTTCGTACCAGAAATAATACGTACCTATTGCCAAGCTTCCATCGTAGTAATATGGCATACAGTAGTGTGCGTCATGTAAATATTATGAAACACAGACACTTGGGCTTTGGTGCTCAATCTGTATTATATTATAGATGTTGAAATATGAATTTTTTTCAAAACGGCTTATATTAAGTTTTTTTTGTTTTTTTTTTTATTTTAAAGGCGTTTTGAGCTCCAAACCCAAGTGTCTGTGTTAGGAAATTATAATGAAAAGAAATATAATTTGGCAATCTGGTGTAATAACCTGTATAGGGTGTTACCAGATTAAATAACCAGTCAACTGCATGCAAAAGCCAATACATATTTAACATCTACAGACTCAACCGTTTGATATATGATAATGTATAATTATACTTCAATTTATAAGCAAACAAGAATGGAAAAAGGACCAAGTTAAAGTTCTGATGCCTATAATTTTGAAAATGATCACTCAAGACCTGATTTTTATGTTAGCCTTTTGTAAAAGTGCACATTATGGAAAATAATGTACTAATGAGAATTTCATTCCAATACAAACACAGTGCAACCTGTGTAAATATTATTCTGTTAACAATGAACAGTTGCATTCCACTGAAAATAAGATTGCTAAGAATTAAATCCTAATCTCTGGATTATGTACACCAGTATGCCATAAAACCATAAATTTCACCACTTTATGTTCAAATGTTGAATTCTGCTAAAGCTGGTGCTAGGGGGGCATGGAAGGTAACTTGCACTTTCCAACAGGCTCACCAAATAGAGCCTGCAACAGTTTCAATTTTGTCATTTTGGGCTTTCTGCAGGAATTCTTTATTTCTCTATTTTCTGATGTCAAATGTACTTTTTTAAAATTCAAATAAGATCACAGATTGTAACAATGTTTTACAAATACCTTTCAATGTTAATTTACACTCCACTTCTCTTAGCACGTTTCAGGACACATTTTGGAATGTTGTTAAAATAACAAAAACACAGATAAATTGAAACATGTATTTGAACATTGGCAGTAAAACAACAATAAAATATTTTCAAATGAACAGCATATCTTCTTTTTCTTACTCTTAAAATTGTACACCAGTGACTTCTTTACAGTTATAGTTTTATTTTTTATTCAATCCATGCTGTCTTAACAGGAAGAGAAAGTGTGAAGATGGCCAATATTGTAGAAGGAAATAAATAATATCTTAATTCCAACCAAATTGTATGAACTTGAGCTAACCCCTTATGGGTTTCTGGTGATGAAGGATATTATGCTTAAGCCATTGTGACCTTAGACCTTATTAACTCCAAACTAATGCTTAATTACTAATCTAAGCAATGTCCCTGGAAATGTTCAAAACCTTGGGACAATGAGTTTACATGTCACTGAGACCTTGAACTTATAATCAAATGGACCAATCTTAAAACTAATGGCAATCAGAATTTTTCCTTCTGAGTTACATAAACTATACCTTACAATGTTACACATATTTAAAGGAAGTTAAACTTTATGCCATCTTGAGCTTTAAATCTAATTACCTCAAAATCAGTTGGTGCCATTATCTGGGGAAGGGCAATGTTCCTACCAAGCCTAAAAACTTAGGCTTACCCCTGAATGTAAAATATTGTTTGTTCCCCACTCCCGCGACCTACCTACAAATAGCACAGCTACCTAAAATATCTTATTGCCCAGGATTTGTTTACTAAAATGAAATCAGAGTGTCAATGAGAATGACATCTTTTTAACTGTCTCGTGATTTTTTAATTGTAAATATACAAATGTTGGGATATTTGTTGATTGAAACTGAAAATATGGTTCTAAATTTTCAAGTAAAACAGATGCTTTCATGCATTCACAATTTGTTTGAACTACATATAATTTTAATGAAAAATAAAACAAGACAAACATTTTGAATAACTAGGAATGTGTCCATAGGACACGGGTCCCCCCTACGCGCCACTGTTCTGTCAATCTTATGACTCTAGGTCAAATATTTTTTGAAAACTAAAAATCTTTTACTAAGTAAAGGGCAAGAACTTTACAAATACTGAATAAATTCACAAGTAAACCCCAAGGTGCATAAGTACACATGCTGACCAACATTCTTTTAAACATTCAGGCCTACAAGTGAAATACTTTTTGAGCTATGCATGAACAAGTTGAAAATTGTAAATTATTCGATAAATTAAAGTGAACCTGTAGTAGCCACTCCTATATTGTCTTTCTTATTTATATTTTATCCCTGTAGGATATTAATTATGGAGTTAAATGATAAATTATTTATGTTTGGCTGAATGAAATGAAAGAAAACATAAATATTTTTTTAGCTATGCATGAACAAGTTAAAAATTGTAAATTTATACTACTGTAAGTCAAGGGCAATAACTCTAACAAAACTGAAAAAAATCCACATAAAAGTCCCAGGTTCATAGCTTCAAAGTGATGTAAATCATTATTCCTGTAATTTAGTGATGTTGATCATTATTCCTGTAAAGTTGGTTGATTCTCACTCAAGCACTCAAGGAACAAATAACAACATAATGAAACGTTTTTTACTAAGTCAAGGGAAATAACTCTACAAATACTGGATAAATCCACAAGCCAAACCCCAGGTGCAAAACTAAATATGCTGAGCAACCGTCCCGTAAGGTTTAATGACTCTATGTCAAATCCTTTTTGAGTTACATGTGACACAAGTTGAAAACTGCAAAATTTAACAAAGTCAAGGGCAATAACTCTAAAAATCCGAAATAATTCCAGACGAAAATACCCAGATGCGCAACTACACATGCTGATCAACATTCCTGTAAAGTTTCATGACTCTAAGTCAAATACTTTTTGAGTTACATGCGACACAAGTTGAAAATTGCAAAATTTTACTAAGTCAAGGGCCATAACTCTCAAAATACTAAATCCAGACGAAAATACCCAGGTGCACAACTACACATAATGTTCAACATTCCTGTAAAGTTTCATTGCTCTAGGTCAAATACTTCTTGAGTAACATGCGACACAAGTTGAAAATTGCAAAAATTCAATCAAGGGCAGTAACTCTGAAAATACTAAAAATATCCAGATGAAAATACCAAGGTGAACAACTACACTTGCTGATCAACATTACAGTAAAGTTTCATGACTCTAGGTGAAATACGGACGGACGGACAAGGGTAAATCTAAATGCCCGCCACTAAAGTGGGGGCACAAAAATAAATATTTTATCAGCCCACCTAACCTATCTAAACTGGAATGGGATGAGGGAGTAAATACAAAGATAATTTTAAGGCTTGCCTTGTTTGATTGAACAAGGATTTTATATAAAATGCCCCTATGTCATTGGTCTAATAAACTAGATTGGACTACAAACAATTCATGGACTAATAACAACTAGATCTCCGCGAGTCGGATGTGTTGCCTTGTGAACAATATAGTTTAGGAGAAATGGCCAAGACAAAAATGAAATATGAAAATTAACAAAGGGCAATAAAGTTAAAGCCACTAATAGCAAATAACAAGCAAAGCCAAAATTTAGACATTTAACCTTGAAGGTCAAGGTCAATTATGAATGAAGGCCAAGGTTAGACAATACACCAAGAACTTTAAAAGTTATGAACAAGGTTCAAGTTTGCAGAAGGCAACGGCAGCAACCTCTATTTCTTTTTTCAAAAAAAAACAAGAGCACCGCTAGGCGGAGCATTATATGCCCGAAAGTGTTTTTTTTTATATAAAGGATGAAGCATTTGTAAGACATTCCATAAATTAAATAAAGTATCAACTCCTTCCAATAGCAATCCTCCTATAAAGTTTGAATATTGTGGGCCAAATAGATTAAGTTATGCTCCAGAAACTGTTTTCAGTTTTAAAGTAATAGTGAGCTTGACCTTTGACCCTGTGACCCAAAAATCAATAGGGGTATTCTACCCAATATGGACAATCATCCTATGAAGTTTGAATGTTGTGGGCCAAATGAAACTTAAGTTATGCTCCAGAAACTGTTTTCAGTTTTTAGCTATAAAGTAATAGTGACCTTGACCTTTAACCTTGTGACCCAAAAATCCATAGGGGTATTCTACCCAATATGGACAATCATCCTATGAGGTTTGAATATTGTGGGCCAAATAGACCTTAAGTTATGCTCCAGAAACTGTTTTCAGTTTTTAGTTATGCTCCAGAAACTGTTTTCAGTTTTAAAGTAATAGTGACCTTGACCTTTGACCGTGCCACCACAAAATCTATAGGGGTCTCCTACCCAATATGGACAATCATCCTATGAAGTTTGAATCTTGTGGGCCAAATGGAACTTAAGTTATCCTCCGGAAACTGTTTTCAGTATTAAGGTAATAGAGACCTTGACCTTTGACCTTGTGACCCCAAAATCAATAGGGGTCTCCGACCCAATATGGACATTCATCCTATGAAGTTTGAACACTGTGGGCCACATGGAACTGAAGTTATGCTCCAGAAACTGTTTTCAGTTTAAAGGTAAAAGTGACCTTGACCTTTGACCTTTTGACTCCTAATCAATAGAGGTCTTCTAACCACTATGGACAATCATCCTATGAAGTTTGAACACTGTGGGCCAAATGGAACTTAAGTTATGCTCCGGAAACTGTTTTTAGTTTTAAGGTGATAGTGACCTTGACCTTTGACCTTGTGACCCCAAAATCAATAGGGGTCTTCTACCTAATATGGACAATCATCCTATGAAGTTTGAATGTTGTGGGCCAAATGAAACTTAAGTTATGCTCCGGAAACTGTTTTCAGTTTTAAGGTGATAGTGACCTTGACCTTTGACCTTGTGATCCCAAAATCAATAGGGGTCTTCTACCCAATATGGGCAATCATCCTATGAAGTTTGAATGTTATTGGCCGAATGGAACTTAAGTTATGCTCCGGAAACCAAATTGCTAACGGACGGACGGACAGACGGACGGACGGACAGACGGACAGACGCCAGGGGGTATAACATAATTTGCCCGAAATTTTTTCGGGCATATAAAAAGAAAAAAGAAAAGCTGAGCTAAAGTGAATGACATAGTACATGTATATCAAAAGATATAATTGAATAATACTTTTAACTTCGTTACTACATTAAAGCTCATAGCAGCACTTATAGTTTAATAGATTGGATAATATTTTGCACTTGTATAAAAAGTAGTCATTTTTCTGACAAAATATTAAAAACAGACCTTGAGTCATGACAAATGAATCAAGAGAATTTTTTTCGAAACAAGATAGATACAGTGCCATATCTAAAAAGATATTTCATAAAACTATCATGAATACCAGGTGTTCAATGTCAGCTTAAATATGTTTGAATAGTTGGGCAATCAGTGTAACACACTAGTTATCATTCTTTTCCATAAAAAGTCAATCATATCTTGATTTATGTTCCTCATGAATGGCTCGGGTAGGCTTCGGGCTAACTTGGGCCAAATATTTTGAAAGTCTGTGGGGGTCATCTTCCTCTAACTTTCTATTTTATATATCCCCTCCATGTCACTAATTCTCAGAGTTATAGCATCATGAAAAATGGTATAATGATACTTTTTCTTCTTCTTTAATTCATCCAGACTCGCTGAAGTCTGAAATGAGAAATTAACAAGCCTGTTATAACAAAAATCATAAGTGTATACAATTCTCAAAATGCATTACATGTAATTATGTCCTCAAAATTTATTAGTCAGGTCAGGTCAGAGACTGCAAAATCTCTTTTGATTGAAATTAATATTATATAGGCAATATAAATGCATAGTGATCACACTTTCAATAAAAATATCTTATAATTCATAGAGGCAGGAACATTTAATACTAAGATATGCAGCATTTATATTCATATGCAAAAATGAAAAAAAAAATGTTGAGAATCTATATGCCCAAAGAAGATAAAGCACAACATTTTATTTAGGTTTTGCCTCTTTATATGTTTGAAGAACTGAAATCTTTCTATTGAAATAAACAAAGAAACATGCTACATCCATATTAGACTCAGTACAGAGTACATCTATGTTGAACATTATTATAGTTCCAAACAATTCACTTTATTAACACAAACTGGACACTGTTTTCTTTCATTCTGTAAAATTGTGAAACATTACATGTTGGGGTTTTGTAAGTAGCATACCTAACAGATCCCCCTTGTTGGTGATGTATGGTCTATTTGCATGTATATTATAATCTATGGCTGCTAGAAGATTGTGCATCCTATAAACAGGTGGTGTGTAAGCAAATCTTTTGGTACAATACATCAAGATGTGCTGGTGAAACCCCTCCATGCCAGCTGTACTTCTAAAAATGAATACAAATAATGGAAAGATATTTTCATTTAAATGATTTTAGTAAGGAAAAATCCTTTAACATTAACATATTCATATGCTAGATATATATGTATGTAAATAATTATCTTTGAAAAGATTTTACACAGCTCTATCCTTCAATTGATAAGTGCAATAAAGGTGCCAATTAATTTATACATAATGGTTGTAGGTCCATTTGCGTTAACATATAAAGGTGCTGTAAACATTGAACATTCTATAATCAATAGACATATGAGCTTTGTATTAATCAGGACATATACTCCTTTCCAGTTAGGAAAATAAATCCTTTTAAAAATTTCACTCCAAACTGCTAGCATATCTTAACAAAGATAGACATATCTCCTTTGCAGAATTAATGGTTCCAACATTGGAGCCATTGGCTTCAACTTTTTTGATTGGCCAATCTGGTGGTGCAAACTAAAATTGCTCCAGGGGGAACCCTGTCAATATAAATTTCTTTTATTGTACCTGATGAGAACATACCTGCAGTTGAGATATTATGTCATCTTATTCAGAACACCAGCCAGATCTTTCAGACTATGTGCATCTTATTTCCTTTGCAGCCATGGTTTGTTCTGGTTTCTAATGGGCCATGATTGTACTAGGCATTGGTGTATTCCATCATCTGAAAACAGAATCCATTCATGCTCAATAACTATAAGATTGATGCAGACACTAAAATATATTATTCCCTGAAATAAAATATCAAGACAAATAAGCATGCATTAAAAAATGGCAAAGAAGTCAGCCTTCAACAAGTTTCATGAAACATTACTAAGCATTTCACATTTATTTTACATATAAAATGCTTACCATAAACCTATGAAGTATTCCACATTATGCATCAAAACATCTTGCATGCATTAATTTTCTTGCAACAAATGACAATTATGTATTGCTATCTAGAATTTTATCAAAATATTTCTTGAGCAACAGAATAATCATATAACTAGAAATTTGTCCATAGGACACGAATGCCCCAACATGCCACTGTTCTGTCAATCTTATGACTCTAGGTCAAATATTTTTTGGACTACATGTGCCTGAAGTTGAAAACTAAAAATCAACAAAGGGCCATAATTCTGTTAAATTTGGTCGCAGAAAAAAATTCCTTCCTTTACTACCATCTACACTTTAAGGTTGTTCATCCCTGGAAGTTTAAGTAAAATCTGCCATTTGGTTTAAGAGGAGTTGCGTTCACAAAATTTCTACATAGTATATAGTGAAAAAATCAACAAAGGGCCATAATTCTCTTAAATTTGGTCGCAGCAAAAATTCCTTCCTTTAATACCATCTACACATTAAGGTTGTTCATCCCTGGAAGTTTAAGCAAAATCTGCCATCCGGTTTAAGAAGAGTTGCATTCACAAAATTTCTACATAGTATATAGTGAAAAAAATCAACAAAGGGCCATAATTCTGTTAAATTTGGTCTCAGCAAGCATTCCTCCCTTTACTAGCATCTACACATTAAGGTTGTTCATCCCTGGAAGTTTAATCAAAATCTGCCATCCGGTTTAAGAAGAGTTGCATTCACAAAATTTCTACATAGCATATAGTGAAACAAGAGAAGGTTGAACCGGGTGATGCTCCCAGAATAGGTTTTGGACACAGGAAGGTTTATCTCTTGTAGTGTCAGAGTTGTGTCACAGACACAGTTCAAAGTGTAACTAGAAATGTGTCATCATGCCACGGATGCCCCCGCATGCAGCCAAAATTTCAGATGTTATAATATTTAGTTCCAAATTTGTTTGCACAAATTATTGTTTTCATTTTAAGTTCAAAGCCCTTAAAACTTTTCAACGTTTACACAAACCATTTTCATACAATGTTCAAGGCACTGAAATTATTCAGTCTTAACCTTTTGAAAATAGCATATTTCATATTTGTAGCCAAAATAATGGCTACATACATTTCCACAAAAGTATGAGTGCTGAAACTGAAAGTTCAAATTTTTTCCAATATTCAAGAAAGATAAGTTTGTCCAAAATCATTGAACCATGACCAAATTCAAACTTAAACTGCTTATTCCTCAGATGTATCTATATTATTTTCAAAGTGAAAGGGACATAACTCTGCCAAAAAATCATCGAACCATGACCAAATTCCAACTTGACCTGCCCATTCCTTTGACATATCCATATGTCAAATTTGAGTTGAAAATGTAACACTGTTGGGTAGATAATGAACAGAAACTGTAAATTTCATATTATTTTTAAAGTGAAAGGGGCATTACTCTGCCAAAAATCATTGAACCATGACCAAATTCGAACTTGGCCTGGGCATTCCAAAAACATATCCATATGTGAAATTTTAGTTGAATGTGTTGTACTGTTGGGGAGATAATAAACAGAAACTGAAAATTTCATATTATTTTCAAAGTAAAAGGAGCATAACTGCCAAAAATCATCGAACCATGACCAAATTCAAACTTGACCTGTATTTTTTCATAACATATCTATATGTGAAATTTGAGTTGAATGTATTGTACCGTTGGGGAGATAATGAACGGAAACTGAAAATTTCAAATTATTTTCAAAGTGAAAGGGGCATAACTGTTCCAAACATCATCAAACCATGACCAAATTCGAACTTGACCTGTATTTTTCATGACATATCCATATGTCAAATATGAGTTGAATGTGTTGTAACGTTGGGGAGATAATGAACGGAAACTGAAAATTTCATATTATTTTCAAAGTAAAAGGGGCATAACTTTGCCAAAAATCATCAAACCATGACCAAATTCGAATTTGACCTGTATTTTCTCATGATATATCCATATGTCAAATTTGATTTGAATGTGTTGTACCGTTGGGGAGATAATGAACGGAAACTGAAAATTTCATATTATTTTAAGTAAAAGGGGCATAACTCTGCCAAAAATCATCGAACCATGACCAAATTCGAACTTGACCTGTATTTTCTCATGACATATCCATATGTCAAATTTGATTTGAATGTGTTGTACCGTTGGGGAGATAATGAACGGAAACTGAAAATTTCATATTATTTTCAATGTAAAAGGGGCATAACTCTGCCAAAAATCATCGAACCATGACCAAATTCGAACTTGACCTGTATTTTCTCATGACATATCCATATGCCAAATTTGAGTTGAATATGTGCAACCGTTACTAAGATAATGAACGGAAACTGATGATGACGGAATGACAGAATGACGGAATGACGGAAGGACGGAATGACGGAAGGACGGAACAGGGTAACACTATATGCCCCGGCCATTACATGGCGGGGGCATAAAAATATCAAACATTTATTAAGTACTTTTTTAATATCAGCTTTACACAAACATACATATTTTAGATGTGTACAAACACCACATTTATAACAGTGATTTGAATCATGATCAGTAAATATGCATTCTGTTATG